CATTTGAGGGGAAATTCGGTGGAGAGGAGTCCAGGGCATTTTTATTTTTTCTTTCCACTTCTGAACTTTTCAAATTTTCCTTAACAGGCATGCATAACTTTAAAGTGTTTCTTCATGGATTGTTTCCAAGGGAAGAATTAAATTCATTTCTTTGGGTTAAGGCTACGTGATCACTGGAGGCCCTGTCAAACGCATCAACACTGCCGGATGGGGACCAGGTGGCTCACAGGCACTTAAACGCTGACCTTCGCCTGAACCAGGCTTCCCAAGTTCCCATTTGGCCCCCCAGGAGAGATCGGCACAGGGAACAGTTAACTTGTGTTAAAGGACCAAGAGGAGAAACCTTAGGGGATACCCAGAAAGCCTGGGGTGGGGCCCAGAGCAAGGACTGGAGGAGCCCACAGTGAGGGGAGGGGAAGTGGAAGCCTCCACTTCCCAGCCATGCACTTCTATGAAGAGAACCCAGATGCAGGAGGCTAGGAAGCGGGTGAGAGGCATCACTCCCAGAGGAATGAGGTATGGGGTAGAGAAGAGCGGGAGCAGGCCTGGGCTTCTCCCACCACACATGCCGAAGGGCACTTTCCTCTCCCACTGCCACAAGGCCTCAGACACACACACATTAACGTGGAATCCGACCTCAAACATCCCATATCACCTTAGCCATGGAAGCTATTTTCTTTTTCCTTTTTTTCATATAGAGTCTTGCTCTGTTGCCCAGGCTGGAGTGCAGTGGTGCAATCTCGGCTCATCGCAGCCTCCATCTCCCAGTTCAAGCGATTCTCCGGCCTCAACCACCCCAGTAGCTGGGATCACAGGTGCCAGGCTAATTTTTGTATTTTCAGTAGAGATGGGGTTTAGCCATGTTGGCCAAGCTGGTCTCCAACTCCTGATCTCAGGTGATCTACCTGCCTCGCCTCCCCAAGTGCTGGGATTACAGGCGTGAGCTATACCGTGGGAGCTATTGTCTTTTATCCCAAGTGTTGACAGCATCTATAACTGACCTGGCCCTCATCTCGGTTCCTCAAGCTGAAAACTGTCGGTAAGTCCCACGAGCTAACAAAATACCTGGACCTAAAATCCTGAACCGCCTTCCCCAAGAGTTCTGAGGACCTAGAACCCACTGAAAACAGAAGGGAAAATTCTGTGGCTCCGAGGGCTGAGCCTAGGAGGAATGACTCTCAAGAGATCGAACAAGGGAGGGTCGGTCCCAGGTTGGCCTCTCTACCCGCGCTTCTGGAAGGACCTGTAGGATGGCAGACGTTCTCTAGGGCACCCAGCCTTGGGAAACCACAGGATGGAGGGAAGGTTTCTCTGGCGGCTGCCTCTGCCCCAGGACACCTGCGAAGGGAAACGGCGGGGCGGTGGGGGCCACTCACCTTCTCCAGCTTCTCGAAGTGCTCCCGGAGGAACTTCATGGGGCGCTCGGGCTTGGAGATGCAGAGGTGCACGATGCAGTCCTTGAGGACCTGCTGGATTCCGTGCAGCTGCACGTACAGCTCACAGCCCTTCAGGCTCTCGTCCTCCTCTGAGGGGCAGGCGGGCGGGGAGGCCATGGCGAGGGCTGCTGCTTCCTTCCTGTGCAGAAAACAGATCACCGAGGCCTGAGGGCGGCCGGGGCTGCGCGCCGGATAAACGCAGGCGGCGTGAATCAGGCTTCTCCAAGGAGCGGGTAAGAAAGTCACTGATTCCGCATTTGTCAAAGATCTTTTATTCCGCGGGGCCAGGTGAGTTGTTAAACGTAACGACCCCCAGAGCTTTCCCTCTTAACAGACCGGGCAGGGGTGGAGGGGCTCGGACAGAGGCGCACGCGGCTGAGAAGCCCCTTCTGCGGCTCCGAGGATTCCGCGGTGGGAGGAGTAGGGGGGCCCGGCGCCCTGTGGGTCCATCCTGGGGGTTACAGGGCCTCGCCCTCCTCCATCTCCCCTTTCTGGGGGCACTCGTGTGAAATGTGAATGCTGGGGGGGCCCTGCGCGCGCCCTCAGGGGAGGGAGAGAGGAGAGTGAGGCTGTCGATGGGCTGGGCGGGCCTCTTCACAGGAAAAAGCAGAAACGCAGGTAAACAAGGGGAGCCGGGCGGAGGGAACGGGGGGAGACAAATGCGGCGGCCGCGCAGGCGAAGTCACCATGGCCAGGCCCAGCCGCGCCCGCCCCGCACCGCAGAGCGCAGGACCCCAGCCCAGCCGAGCCGCCCCCGGGGAAAGCGGCCTCCACCCCAAGATCCCGCACCCCCAGCCCCAGCCCCGGCCCCTGTGCCGGTGAGGAGCCTCCGGGGACCCCTGACTGGGCGCCCCAGGCCCGGCTCCGCCCCGCGCGCCCCCCACTCCCGGGGAGCCGAACCCTCCTAGATGCCCGCATGCCCGGGGGGCCTCCCAGGCCTGGGGATACCGGCACAGACCCCAGCCCAGCCCCACGTACCTGGATGCGCGGCGCCCGAGGCCAGGAGGCGGCTGTGCGGGTACGCTGGGCGCGGGGACGACGGGCGAGCGAGCGAGCGGGTCCCCGCACTGCAGCGGCGCCGCCCTCCACGCCCGCCCCCGCACCGCGCGCAGCTGCTGCACCCCCGCCCCCCGCCACCCAGGCAGGCCCGCAGCCCGTCTCCCCTCACCACCACCTCCCCGCAGGCCCCCTCAGTCTCGGCCCACCCAGACTCTCCCCTCCCCCGCCGGGCTCCCCGCCCCCGCCCCATCCCCCACCGAAGCAGGTTCTTGCGCAGCACGGCCTGGACCCCCGCTCTTGCAGCCCCTCGCCCCCTCCACTCAGACCCTGAGTCGCCCACTCCAACTGGTGCAGGCCGTGGGGCTGCCAGGTGATGATCTGGGCACCCACACACACACCTTTACGCCCACCGCAGCCGCCTGAGCTGCTCACACCTGGGAGGGTCACATCCCTTTGTCTATAGGACAGCCGTACCCAGCAAGCATGCCTGTTCCCTGGGGTCTCGCTCTCCCTTAAGGGCCAGAAGGGGGTGGCCAGGTGGGCCCAGCACTCCTCCCCCAACTGACTCCCACCGGTTAGGGCCACCAGCTTCACCCCAATGCCAATTGAGAAATCAGGGTCTTCCTAAATTCTTTCCCACCTTCCCTGGGGGTCCAGAGATCACTGAAGCCTAAGAGGAGCCTCTCTTGGTGACATCCTAACTCACAACCACAACCCTGCAGGAAAGGGAATCATCTTTATCCTCCCACCGCACACCTGCCCCATCCTGCCAGGGTGGGGGCAGAAACTCCATCTCCCCTTCCCCAGAGGCTCTAATACCAGGAGAGGGGCAGGCAGTTCAGGCTGTGAAGATGACATCTGCGTCCCTCTCCACATTCACTTGCCCAGCCCGCTGGTCCCCCACTCACCTGCCCCGCTCTCCTGTTCCATGCTCACCTGTCTCCCACTCTCCTGTACACTCCCACTGGACCATCTTATGCTCACCTGTTCCACACTCACCTGTCCAGCTTCCCTATTCCACACTTACCTGCCCTGTGCTCACCTGTTCCCCCACTCACCTATACACACTCACTGTCTCCTACTCAGTCCTCCCATGCCCCCCTGGTCCACACTCACCTGTCCAGCTTCCCTGTTCCATGCTCACCTCTTCCACACCACCTGCCCAGTGCTCACCTGTTCCCCCACTCACCTGCCTGCACAGGTACTACACAGGTCACCAGCCCTGCCCAGCATGCTCCCCAGCAGGGCTGACACTGCCCCAGCCTCTTCCTGCCAGGGTGAATGTAAACCAAGCAGGCCACCCTCGGGGGTCAAACATGAAGTTCCTTGGTCCTCAACCCTCACCCTCAGTACCTACTGGCCCCAGCCCCATTCCAGGCAGGCCTGCATTTGTCCTGAGCCTTTCTCAGGAATCCAGGCCCAGTCTCTGAATCAGAACTCCAACACACAACCCTCTCAGACCCCTGGCTCCCCCAGCCCGGGCCTGCCTGGAGCTGCCACAGACCAGCGGTGCCATCCTGTGCTCCCCGCGGCCCCTCCACTCCCTTCTCCTCCCCTAATTACTTCTGTTCCTCCAGGGCGGCTTGGTGAGAAGGATAGCAAAAAAGGCCCAGGTGTAGTTACCTGACCGAGGTGGTGTCTTGCTTTGGGGGCAGATGCTCCAGGACTGGCTGCTTCTCTCCCGGGCTCTCCTGGGGTTCTCTGGAAACCCCCTAAAAAGACTTCCCCCACACTGTGCCTCTAGCAAGAGTGGAGGCCCCTCTCCAGCTGACCTCACAGGATAGCATTCTGATTCCAAGGCACACACACAAGCTCTCCTTCTGCTGCGATACCTCCCCAGGCAGAGAGCCTCCTCAGCCTGTGTCCTTTAGAGACAAGGACCGCCCAGGTTTGGAGGCTGGCTGCTGGCAGCGTGCACCTGGCCCACCAGACATGCGACCCCGGGCCCCACTGAGCTGAGGTCCTTTCCTCACTGGTACGACAGCAGCCCCCACCGCTTCTCACTTTCACACTTTTCCTGGTCATTCAGGTCCCTGTTCCAGTGGCCCCCAACCCCTGCCCCTCCCCGACCCCACAAGAACTCCCTCTCCAGACTGGGTCTGGTAGCAGTTCGAGGCGTGGCCCCCACCGCCCCAGCCTGCAGACGACCTTCTGCCTGATTCCCAGGCCTCTCCTGCTGCAGCCTTACTGGCTTGAGCCAATGCCAGATGGTTCCCTAGTGTCCTGCTCACTGTCTGATCAGTCCCAGAGGATGAAATCAACACAGAAGTGGGAAGAAACAGGATCCTGGAGAAACGGAGCCACAGCCGTCCTCAAACTAAACCTGAGGCTCTCCCCGTATCTGGACTTCCCAATTCTGTTCATCAATAAATGCCTTCAGCCAGTCACGGTGGCTCCCACCTGTAATCCCAGCACTTTGGGAGGCCGAGGTGGGTGGATCACCTGAGGTCAGGAGTTCGAGACCAGCCTGGCCAACATGGCAAAACCCCATCTCAACTAAAAATACAAAATTAGCCAGGTGTGGTGGCACGTGCCTATTATCCCAGCTACACGGAAAGCTGAGGCAGGAGAGTCACTTGAACTTGGGAGGCAGAGGTTGCAGTGAGCCGAGATCGCACCACTGCACTCCAGCCTGGGCAATGAGAGCAAAACTCCAACTCTAAATAAATAAAATAAATACCTTCTACTGCCTGAGCCAGTTGGCTTTTTGCTTTTCGTTAGTTGCAACTGAGAACATCCAAGTGAATACACCCGAGATCTTACATAATCCCCCTCAACACACACACTGACAACCCGATTAAATGGTCCTGGATTAAGACACAGGGAGGGGTCCGCTGAGCTCAGAGGACCTGTGCTTGGTCATCAAACCATGTGGAACTCAACAGGTGGGTCGCCACAGTGACAAATCCCGGCTGTCACACAGTGGCTAAGCAGCTATGCCCTCTACTGAAAATGGGCAGCTGGCGATTGGGTTATCCATTCAAAAGTCACAGGAAAGTGCCCTCTGCCCATAGGGAAGGACCCACCCTACATGCTTGGCCCTATTATTTTTCCCAGCAAAGTTATTCACATTTCTAAGCCCTGTGGGGTCTTACTTCACCCTAGAATGTGCCTGTAGGATTCATTGTGACCGAATGTACCACAGTGACCATGCTTTGCAAAACTCCAACCAAAGAGCCACATTCTTTATGCTTTTTTTTTTTTTAATCTTTTTGTTGTTATTTTGTGACAGGGTCTCACTCTGTCGCCCAGGCTGGAGTGCAGTGCTGTGACCACAGTTCACTGCAGCCTCAAATTCCTGGGCTCAAGCCATCCTCCCACCTCAGCATCCTGAGTAGCTGGGACCACAAGTGTGCACCACCACACCTGGTATTTAAATTTTTTTTTTTTTTTGGTCGAAATGGGCTCTCACTATGTTGCTCAGGCTGGTCCTGAACTCCTGGCCCCAAACAGTCCTCTCCCCAGCTTCCCAGAGTGCTGGGACTACAGGCATGAGCCACTGCATCCCACCAAAGCCACATTCTTTTCCCAGTCATCACGCACCTCTAAACTCTGTGCTCTGTCAGCTCCAATTCACCCTCCAAGATTCAACCAAAATGTTACTTACGCAGGGAAATTCCCTAAAGCACCAGCACCGCCTCCAGAGGGCCCAGGGTTCCCAGTACTTCTACTTGGTAGCTTTCGTCACAAGTGCAATTGAATAATGATGGGCAAGGCTGCTGGCTCAATTGCTGTCTCCCCTGCTATGTCGAAGCACCAAGCATTCATGGATGGTGTTTGCCTTATTTTTTATTCACTCAGCATGGCAAAGACACAAACGCAGATATTTTCCGGGCTGCAGAAAGGAGACAAAGATTCTTTGTTAAGTTGCTGTGGCCACTGGGGAGGTTGCAGAGCATCATGGTTTGAGATGGGATCTGTAGGTGGGCTTCCTGGGTGCGGCTGCTGAACCTCCCCCAGCGTCCGCGAGCTCTCTGAGCTGAGGATAGAGGAGATACTGCAGGTGATCGTGGCTGATGGGAGAGGCCACTAATCCTCAAATCTGGGTGGACATACGAGGACTCAGGGATGAGATGCTGAGCATGGGGCACTCAGCTCCTAGTAGGAGCCTAGGGACCATGAACAATAATAATTATTATTCTCTGGCTGGGTGCAGTAGCTCACACCTATAATCCCAGCACTGTGGAAGGCCTAGGCAGGCAGATCACCTGAGGTCAGGAGTTTGAAACCAGCCTGGTCAACATGGTGAAACACTGTCTCTACAAAAAATGCAAAAATTAGCCGGGTATGGTGGCATGCCTGTAGTCCCAGCTACTCGGGAGGCTGAGGCAGGATAATCATTTGAACCCAGGAGGCGGAGGTTGTAGTGAACTGAGAGCATGCCACTGCACTCCAGCCTGGGCAACAGGAGTGAAACGCTGTCTCAAAAAAATAAGATAAAATAAAAATAAACAATGTGGCCAGGCATGGTGGCTCATGCCTGCAATCCCAGCACTTTGGGGGCCAAAAGAGGAGAATCACTTGGGCCCAGGAGTTCAAGACCAGTCTGGGCAACATAGCAAGGCCCCGTCTCTACAAAAAAAATACAAAAATTAGCCAGGTATGGTGGCGCACATCTGTAGTCCCACGTATTCAGGAGGCTAAGGTGGCAGGATCACCTGATCCTGGGAGTTCAAGGCTGCAGAGAGCTATGATCGTGCCACTGCATTCCAGGCTGGACAACAGAGTGAAATCTTGCCTCAAAACACACTGCCCCCCCTCCACACACACACACAATGCTCTCTAATATTCAAGATTTGCATTGTTCACTATGTAGGTAAGGGATGCATCATTTCACAGAAAATTTTGCCACAGGACGGGCTCAGTGGCTCACAACTGTAAATCCCAGCACTATGGCAGGCAAAGGAAAGTGGATCACAAGGTCAGGAGTTTAAGACCAGCCTGGCCAAGATGGTGAAACCCCTTCTCTACTAAAAATACAAAAAATTAGCTGGGCATGGTGGCAGGCACATGTAATCCCAGCTACTCGGGTAACTGAGGCAGAGAATTGCTTGAACCCGGGAGGCAGAAGGTACAGTGAGCCAAGATCATTCCACTGCACTCCAGCCTGGGCAACAG